AAGGAAGAGGTGCGCTGCTCGGCATGGCACCGCCGACTAAACTGATAACAGAAACACAAATCGGCGCAGCATGGCTTGACAGGACGTGGCTAAAGGTTACCGAGGAAAAGGCCCACAGTATTGTACGTGTGCTACTGCGGTAACTTCATTCATCCCACAGATTGAAGTACCGTAGCTTGGCAACATAAAGACCAATGTTGCACTGTAAACTAATGAACAGACAGATTCAACAGAGGAGCAGCTCTGTGTCTCTCTGGGTGATAATGGAGAAACTATGAGTGAGTGAGGGGGCAGAGCTGTGAGGAGAGAGGAGAGGTGCACACTATCTAATCTATATCGTGCTTGAAAATAAATCGATATATTGTAAAAAATCGATATACCGCCCAGCCCTAGTAACCAGTGTATTGATTTCAGCAATGATGTAATGTGATTTATTTTTCTTGTTTTAGTCGAAATTTTGGGTGCAGCATTGGACTAGCTGTAGTTTTCTTACTGTCTTTTTGGGTAGTTTGGATGGATTTGGATTGTTTTTGGTGGAACGGGTAGCAGCAACAGCACTAAAATAGTCACAAAAATGCAGGATTTATCTAAATGGGCTGATTTTTTACAGCTCATCTCCTAGAATCAGCTTCCAATCATTGTTGTCACATCGTGAGTGACAGGTGTCGTGACATGCCCCCTTGATTTACTGTCCAGTTGGGCTAAATTAAGTCAGGCCAGGCCACTGACTTTTGGCCAATGACAGTGCGTGGAAGTACAGTGAGGGCCTGCCCGCTGTTACTGTAGTGGGAGAGTGAGCGTTGAGTCTTGCGAATTGCGTTAGCATCATGCTGAATGAGGTAGATTATTTTAAATGTGTGTGAGAGAGAGAGAGAGAGAGAGCGAGAGCGAGAGAGAGAGAGCTTTTGGCATCAGAACATTTTTGTAGTTAGCCTAATTCTCTAGTTTTGTTGTAGTGCATTGTGGCTGTAACCTGGTACTGTATGTCAGTGTGATGTTACTGTTACTGCAGCTGAACTATTGATCAGTATAGGCCATAGGCCTAATGCGTTAGCCCTCCCACCCCATTTCACCAAGAGCCGCTACTGCAAGTATGAGACTGTAACTGTGTGGACCTTAAACTAATGACAAAGGTGAAATCTGGACCCCGTGGCTGGACCAGCTGAAAACCACTGCACTAGAGCACCAAATGTGGATTTATGCCAAACTAGTCCCCAACAAATGCACTGCTTCCTCCAGTTTTACTAACGTGATAAAAAACGACAGTGACCTGATGTTTTAGGAAATTACTGAACCTTTTTAAAAATTAAACCGTATAATTGAGATGTTTTTAAAGATTTAAGTTATAATTAGGAACTGATCAGCTTGGAGCTGAGAGCCACATACAGAATGAAGAAGTCAGATGTGGCTGAGTTTTGGGCGCATGCTCGTGCAGCGACCGGCAGCAAGTACGTCTGTGTCTGTCAGTGTTTGTTTAAGTGTTTTTTCTATTGATCCTGGCTTTGAACACAGTGGATCTGGTCTGATCAGCAGGGCATAAAGGGATATGGACTGATTCATGTTTATCGGTACCTACGTTTCCCACAAATAATGGAGTTTACAGCATGTTTTATACTGTGGCTGGCGTTCTGCCTCTCCCATGGCTTCCAACTCTTTGATGATCATCTGGAGCGGATTCAATACAGCAGAGAGTTTCTTCTGCAGTGGAGCAACTCTTCGTCAGTTTCTCCCCCTGATCTGATCTCCCCGTGCCTGGATTCATTCACTGACTACAGGAATGATCATCTGAGGGAGTTTAACAGCCCTCCGCCAAAAACGAGGAAGCGGGGCAGATGGGGTGGTTTACGTCACAGACTACGGAGACAGTCACTCTCTCATATTCCTCTACCGTCCATCATCCTCTCAAAAGCCCAGTCTATCCGTAATAAACTTGACGAACTGCAAGCCCATGTTCGATTCCAACATGAATTCAGAAATGCATGTCTGTTGGCATTTACTCAAACTGTCAGACAGTGACTTGAATGCGGAAATGTTCATTGATGGATTTGGCGAGCCGACCCGCCTCGACCGGGATGCCGGTGTCACTGGCAAATCACAGGGCAGGGGCGTGTGCCTCTATGTTAATGAGCGCTTGTGCAATACTGTCGTTGTCAGAGAGAGACTCTGCACTAAACATGTTGAACTGCTGGTTGTGTCTTTGCGCCCCTTTTATTTGCCCCGGGAATTCCCCCAGATATTTGTTATTGTTGTTTATATTCATCTGAGAGCTAATGAGGAGGAAGCCTCGGAGTCTATCCTTCAGGTGACCCAAAAGCTGCAGTTGATATCTCCTGATGCTCCCATCTTTGTGCTTGGTGATTTCAATCATTGTTCACTGAAAAAAAAAACTCACAAGAACTTTTACCAGTATGTCACTTGCCCAACCAGGCAGAACAAAACTCTTGATATGTGTTATGGTTCTGTCAAAGGTGCATTCAAGTCCCTCTCCCTTCCTCCACTGGGGGGGGGCTGATCACAACTGTGTGCAGCTCATCCCTGCATATCGCCCTGCCCTCAGGAGGTGTAAAATCATCACTAAACAGATTAACAACTGGACTGATGATTCCATCCTGACCCTGCAGGGCTGCTTTGACTGTACAGATTGAGACATGTTTAAGGAATCTTGTAGTGACATTCATGAGCTGACTGACGTTGTCAGTAACTATGTGACTTTTTGTGAGAACAGGGTGATCCCAAAAAAGACTGTCAAGATGTTTCCTAACAGCAATCCCTGGGTGTCGAAATCATTGAAAGATCTGTGTAACAAGAAGAGAAGAGCATTTAGAGAGAACAACCTTACAGAGCTGAACCTGCTTAAAAGGGAAATTAAGAGTGAGATAAAAAGGGCAAAACTGAATTACAAAGAGAAATTGGAAAGAGAACTTTCCAACAATAAGTTGGGGTCTGTTTGGAATGGCTTAAAAACTACTGTTGGGTCAGAAAACAAAAGCCACAAAAAGGTGTCTCTCAATGGTTTTAATTCTGACAGTCACTTGGCACAGGAGTTCAGTAAGTTTCATCTTAGGTTTGATTCCTTTGATTTCAGCAATGAAATCTTAAATTTTAAGAACAAGCTATCCTGTTCTGGACTTGTTCCCTTTGATGTCCTCTCTGTGGCCAATTCTTTTAAACAGTCTAAAACCGGGAAAAGTCCGGGTCCTGACAACATAAGTAGCCGACTGCTTTCTTCCTGTGCCAAACTGTTAGCCCCCATTTTTTATTATATTTTCCAGTTGTCTCTTAACCTACAGAGGATGCCAAGGTGTTGGAAGCAGTCCACAGTTATACCCATGGCCAAAATCAACCACCCCAAGTTTTTTAATGATTTTAGACCTGTGGCATTGACTTCCCTTGTCATGAAGTCTTTTAAAAAATTATTATTCTACTTACTAACACTGAACACCTACTTGACCCTCTGCAGTTTGCATATAGGACTGGCCATGGAGTAGAGGATGCTACTGCCTCCTTATTAAACCTTGTTTACAAACATCTTGAAGGAAACAAAAACCATGCCAAGCTGCTATTTGCAGACTTTTCATCAGCTTTTAATACAATCCAGTCTCACATTTTAATTGTGCATTTATTTTATTAGCATTAAGCCATCAAATATCAGCCAATCAACCATCATCAAGGGACAGACAGTAGAAGTTGTGGATCATTATAAATATCTCGGGACTACTGTGGATAATAAGCTTAATTTTACTTGCCACGCCGACGCTCTCTGCAAAAAAGTCCAGCAACGTCTGTCCTGCCTGAGAAAACTGTCCAAGTTCCAGGTTGACAAGTCTCTTATGATCCTTTTTTTATGAATCATATATTGAGTCTGTCCTGACTTTCTCTCTTCTCTGCTGGTTTGGTAACCTCAATACCACGTCCAAAAATTCACTCAGCAGAGTTGTTAAAATGAGCAGCAGGATATTGGGAGTACAGCAGCGTACATTATCTGACCTGTATCATAGGCAGATATTTAGGAAGACTAATGTCATTCTTTCTGACAGCTCCCACCCTTTACATGCTGAGTTCCAGTATTTGCCCTCTGGGTCTCGGCTCAGATTTCCCCCTGTTAAGAGTAACAGACATATTTTAACTTTTTCCTATTTTCATTTCAAAATAAAAGCCCTCAACAACGTTTCTGTGGACTCTGTTGTTGACAGCACAGTGGCTGCACAGCTCCATAAATTTGTGGAGTGCCGGCTTTTGATTGTGGAAAAACGTAAGTTACAGCAGCATGCAGCTCTGCAGCTGCACTGCAGCAACAATGCTGTCTGTGTGAACACCGCACATGTGCAAGTTGCCGCACTTTATTGAGGCAGCTGTCCGGCAGTCAGTGTGGCCCTATGCTTTAATATCTCTTGTTGCATTAGGCCAGTTTAGACAATATTGCAAATCAATGAGCAGCACTCTATGGCTAAATTGAATTTACAGTATTTTTATCATTGTGTGAATAAAACACTAGATTTTACTGGATTAGGCGGAAACAGACATTCCCATTTGACTGCTTTATCTCTAAACAGTTTATCAATCAAATTTCCTGAAAATATATGATATCACAATACATACTGATGTCGCAATATAAAGTCACATATACCATGATAGATAATTATATCTTTATTGCATTTTGAATTAATGTGCATACATGTTGAAACAGTCCATTAACTCTGTGATTTAATCATTCAATGACAAAAATATTTTCTATTTGGCACCTAGTATAACAGCTTTTAGGTGCATAAAAAAACTGACTTTTACATTTCTCTCCTAATATTTGAATGTGCCTTAGCAGGTGATGAAGCACCAAAGAGATTTTGTCTCAGGAGATGATTATTCAGTGTTTATGCAGGAAAAGTGTTGATTATGTTAGTGTTTGTGGGTGTTAGAGTGGACCTGGTCTTGACATCAAGAGAAGTGTGCACAACCACAGCAAACTGATTTATCAGACTTTTACCCTTCACTGTTGCATGAAGAAATCCAGTGTTGTGTCCCGTGCGGGGGAACAGCGGCGGCGCTGCCAGTCCATGAAGTCATACCCATCCAGCGAGCTGAGGAATGTTTGTGATGAACAGAACACCGTAGTAGAGCCTGCAGAGGAGGGAGAGGACCTGCTGCAGCAGATGTTAGAGAGGAGGTAGGTCACACACACACACACACACACACACATACAGGTACTACAATAAAAAGAAATGTAGACATTTAACATGCCTGAATGGAAACATGTATCAAGAACAATTATTTAGCCTTTCATTTTTAATAACTGAAGTGTTTTTTTTATAGTGACATTATTTTCCATACTACATTCAAATCAAATCAAACCACAGAAACCAAAGTGAAGAGGTGTTTTAATACTGCCCAGCAGATCGCAGTATAGATTTCTATAAAACAATTCATTCAGTAATTAAAAATTTAAAGCTACATAATTTTTATGTAAGGTGTTTTTCATTTAATAATGACTCAGTAAATGCATTCATTAAAAGTTAATGCATATTAGAATGTGCTTCACATTTCACTTTATTTCTTTGATTAGTTTTTATTATTTAGGCATTTTTAAATCTTCCATACTACAACAGCAGTCCAATAATTGAAAGTGCAAAATTAATAATATAAAATGTAATACAGGGGAAACCTCTTATAGTGATCGCATTTGCTAAGATTATTGATGGCTTAAAGAAGATGATTATTAAAATATATACAGTACAGGCCAAAAGTTTGGACACACCTTCTCATTCAATGTGTTTTCTTTATTTTCATGACTATTTACATTGTAGATTCTCACTGAAGGCATCAAAACTATGAATGAACACATGTGGAGTTATGTACTTAACAAAAAAAGGTGAAATAACTGAAAACATGTTTTATATTCTAGTTTCTTCAAAACAGCCACCCTTTGCTCTGATTACTGCTTTGCACACTCTTGGCATTCTCTCCATGAGCTTCAAGAGGTAGTCACCTGAAATGGTTT